CTGGCATCGGCAGGCTCCTGGGTGATGACCAAGTTACTCCCAAGGGGCAGAGGGCAGGGTGGAATGAGAGAGTGCAGGGAACACCTCTCTGGAGCCTGTACACACCAGATGCGCCCTCCCTGGAGCTATCAGGATCCTGAGAGGGAACAGGGAGGGGGTCTGAGTGCTTGAGCAGTGGAGAGCAGGAGGTGCAAGGACTGGTGAGGGGGCACCCACGCAATGGTCACCAGCCCAGGGCAGCAGGCAGACGCTCAGGTTCAGGGGACACTGAAATGAAATGACACATCTGATTTTCCGTGCAAACATTTGTGTGATTAGACACGCGTGGTCCTGGCAGGGAGGAGTGGGCTGCGACGCAGGCTTGATGGATCAGGGTGCTCTACCAGGCTCCAACCACACTCATCACGGAAGCCAGAGCCACAGGGCCGTTTTCCTCACAGGCTTCATTCTGGTTCCTACCTGGGGCACTGGGGGTGGAGGAGGTGAAGGTATGGGCCAGCCCCGAGGCCCTTGCTGTGTCCCCTTCGTGGACTGGCAGGAACCAACTGTCCTCAGGATAGTGTGGAGCCACGTGAAGCCCACCCAGTGGGACCAGGTAGGGACGGGGGGCTCTGGGAGCACCATGCTGCCCATCACTGGGGCTTAACCAGCCCCTCTTTGGCTGGGGAGGAGATCTGCACCCCAGAGCCTGGTCTCCTTGCCCTCACAGAAGTAACTGCCTTGCAGGGATGTCACGCAGAAGTCACCACACCCCTCTGAGCCTCAATGTCTGCATCTGCAAGATGAAGCTTAACCCCCATCTCACAGAGCAACAGGAAGATTGACCACCAGGGCCCAGGGCTGTGTCTGGGCTGCTGCAGAACCATGCAAATTAGAAATATGCTTTACTGTATTCTACTGGCTGATGCCAGGACTCCACGCTGGGGCTCAGGGATCCCAAATAACCTGAATAATGGCCCCCAAGAATGTCCATCCACACCCCAATCCCTGGCATTTGTGTTCCCTTCTATGGCAAATGGGACTTTGGAGATGCAACTACCCTAAAGATCTTGAGATGGGAGCCACACGTGGATTACCCTGGTAGGCCCTAAAGACAATGGCAGGTGTCCTTAGAAGAGAGAAGCAGGGGAGGAGACTCCCACAGACCAGTAAGAGGGCGAGGTGAGGACAGAGCAAGGGGGAAAAGGCGACGTGTGTGAGGTTGGGGCTGTAAGCCAAGGAATGTAGGCAACCTCCAGAACCTGGAAACGTCAAAGATTCTCCCCTGGAGCCTCCAGAAGGAACCAGCCCTGCCTCCAACTCCTTGGTTTTAAGCACCATAAGATTTATTTCAGACTTCCGACCTCCAGAACAATATGAGGATAGTTTGCATTGTTTTAAGCCATGGAGTTTATGGTAATTAGTTACAGCAGCCTTAGGAATCTCTTCAGCAATCCAGTACAGTGAAAGAGCCGGGCAGGCCAGGAGGGACAAAGTCGTCTCTGTGGGCTACCAGCTGAGCCACCCCTCCCTGCTGCTTGCCAGCATCCACAGCCTCCTGCTCCAAGTGCTCTGCTCACACCCCACCTCACTGGACAGGAAAGGAAGCAGGCCCGACCCAGAGATGGGGCATGGGAAAGCCCAGAGAAGACCCAGGCACCTTCCCAGGGCTCCTACCTGCCCAGGGAAGGACAGCACTGGGGGCCTCCCCTCCGAGCGGGGGCTCTGCCTGCAGCCAGGGCTCTCAAGCCTGAGCCTCCAGCTGCATTACCTGCAAGGCGAGGCACACATAGACACAGGCCCCTCCCCCGGCGTCTCTGACTTGATGGGGCTGGGCTGCGGCCTGAGGATCTGCATTACCTGGAACAGACTCCCAGGGGCTCCCAGGGGCTGCTGCTGCTTGGCCAGGGGGTCTGGGAGCCACTGGACTCGGGGAGTGCCCTAACGAAGGGCTGAGGTGCTGTCAGGAAGGGCTTAGTAGGGCTTGCCAGAGGGACCTGTGGTCCATACTTATGCTCCTACAAGAAAGGCCAGCATGCAGTGGAGGGCCTGAGTTCAGGGGGCTGGAACTTGATTTCTAACTTCCAAAGTGGGTGAGCCATAGGGTTAGTCAGCTACCCACTCTGTGCTGCTTCCGTTCCTTCATTTGTAAAATGGAAAAACACACAATGACTCTCTTTTGGATTGTTGAGAAGATTAAATGGCCTGAACACAGGAAAGCATTTACAGCAGGGCCTGTTCACAAGGTCAGTTATGATGAGGAATGGCAGTCATCACTGTTGGGGTCTTCCTACACTTCTGGTGGTACCTCGACACACTTCAGGTGTGAGGGAGATGTGAGCCAGGACATTCACCTGCAGGGGGAAGCCTCCAGCATGGACTCTGCACGGAGCGCTCAGCATTGCCCAGCTCTCCTGACCAACACCCCGTGCAGGGAGCACTTTGAGGAAGGCCTGCTATGTCCAAGGATCTGTGTCACCAAACCAGCCAAACATGACTCATGAGCAAGAAATCAGCAACAGCAACCCCCTCCCAACAGGGACTGAGCTCCCTAGATGCTCCTAGGGTTCTCAGGCGCCACTGACTGAGCAATTTTTGGGTGGCCCAACTAGTTCCAAACACATGCACCTTCCAGAGACTTCTCTGGCTGTGGTCTCAGCCCCTGGAGGTGGAAGGGCCCTGGAGGTGAGCAGTGGGTGGAAATGACCCCAACACCCACCCGGCAGACACATGGCTGCTGCGGCAGATCCAGTCAAGTGAGAACCAGCCACGCACACTGAAATAAAATAAAAAGCTCTCAACATGTCAACAGCACACAGACGACAACTTGAAGGGACCCCCAATGTCCAAATCTGGGACAACTGGACCAGCACAATAAATAGTGATAATAAAAGAGTATAACCCACAGAATCACACAAATAACCATGCGTCCATGTGCATATCAACAGACAATGAAATATATAAAGAAATGTGGGAGATCAGACAGTTTTTCCTTACAGGAGAGCTCCAACCAGTAAATGTGGACAGAATGATAGAAACAGAAGATCGCCATTTGACAAACACTAGTAATGACTGTTTCTGGCAAGAAGCATTGATGGATGTACACGTTAGCGGATGGAAATGTGATAAGAAACAGGATATTTCCATATCTTGAAAGTAATATCCCACAAGATACTGATTAATTGCGAATGGACAACTTTAAAGCTGAGAAGCCAGCAGACAGCCTCACAACCAAGTAATCGACATTCCCAGCAAGGAGAAGCGTGAGCATCATCTGCCTCCTGACAGGATGCCTGGAAAGCACACACATCACTTTTATGGTATTATTCCCCGAAACACATGATCGGAATGCCATCATGAAACAGCATCCATCAGGCACACCCAAACCCAGAGACATCTTATACGGTAACTGACCAGTACTCTTTAAAACTGCCAAGGTCATGAAAGACAAAGGAGAGTAAGGAACTGTCCCAGACAGGAGATGATGAAGGGAGTCTCGACAGCCAAGTGCCACGTGGGGTCCAGGACTGGATCTCGAACTGGGGAAGAAAGATACTAGCAGGCAACTGACCAAATTTGGATAAGTTCTGTGGGTGAGTGAACACCATGCCATCAGTCTTGGGTTACGTAAGATGTCAACATTTGAGGAGCTGCGTGGAGTGTACACAAGAAAGCCTTTATGATTTTGGAACTGTTTTTGTACGCCCTTAATTATTTCAAAGTAAAAGATTTAAAAGTTAAAAAAAAAAGGTTTTAAAAAGAAAGTGAAAGTCCCAGGTTTGCTCCGTCTTGGGGAAGCAGTGGGTATCCTGACACAAGACCCTGCTCAGGCACAATGCTGTGAGCACAGTGAGGGCTCAGCAGGTGCTTACTGACTTCACTGGGATGGGAGATGGTAGAGGCAAGAGGATACGCCTTCAGAGGTGGCAGGCAGGGAGAGGTTCTCCACTCAGCAAACACTGCTTGTTCACCTATTCATATCAGCTGCTGAGACAGAGGTGAGAGGAGAGCTGACCTGGCTGGGAGGCAGGTACAAAAACGGATGATGATCCTGTGGATCAAGAGCAGCAGCCTTCACTCAGTGTGAAGGACCACAGTGCCCCTGAGGAGGTGGCTCCTTGGTTGAGGCTTAGAGGTGGCCTGATGGGGGGGACATTCCAGGCACTTCAGGCTGGCAGCTGGCACCAGGCACAGAGACACAGGACAGAACCACAGACAACAGCTTAGCATGCACAGGTGAGGGGGCTGGAGGTGTGGGCATGAAGATGCTGGGTCAAGAGGGGTCTTGAGGCTGGCTGACCTTTGCAGGTACTCCCCTGGAGGCAGGTGTGGGGAGCAGCGGAGAGTCTGGGGGTAGGGAGAAGGAGGGACTCTCTCCTAGAAGGAGGATGGATGGGATAGCCAGAGACCAAGACTTTGAGTCCTACAGGCCAAGAAAATGACACCAGCCATGGGCTTAGAGGCCCCAGGTGGGTATGAAGGGGACAGGGCTAGGCAGGTGGAGACCATATGGTGACCCCACCCCTTCTCCCTAGGGACCTCAAAGCTGGGACTAGGAAGGGCCCCAAAGCATCACTTTGAGCTTGTCCTTATAAGTGCAGTGACTATATACTTTACTATTCAAAGGGGGACACTTGAAGGGGCAAAAAAGGGTGCTCTAAATTACTATGCTGGAACATATACCTAAGATCACCTTATTTATACAGGATCTTAGACCTAGAGAGGATTCCCACTGCATGGATGAAGAAAGAGCTCCAAACCATGTAGAGATACACCAAGGAAGCCCAGAGCCTTCAAAGTGGTGACATGGGTTGGGGGTGGTTGGTGTTCCCATGCCACCCACCCACATGCTCACACAGGGTCCCAGACCATGATGGCAAAGGTGATCGCCCACTCAGGACAATGTAGTTCAGGAACCCCCAAAAGAGACAGAGGCAGGAGACGTGGCTGAGTCTGCCGGCCCAGCCTCCCCATGGCAGGTGACTGCACGCAGGGAGCAGCAGGCAGAGGGCAGGACTTACCCGTGCACGCCGTGGACAGAATGAGGCTCGTAATGGTACCTTCCCTCCTGATGTCGCATGTCAATGGGTAGGGGCGCATGGAACGGTGGCAAGAGGTGCTGCGGCACTGCAGAGTGGGAGAGAGAAACAGGACTTCAAAAACTTTTCCCCTCCCTCAAAAAGCTACTTTCAAAGGGCTTTAAAGCTCAGTGAATTTCATAGCAAGAGCAGCCAGGACAAGGGGCTCTGCGGTGCCTGCGCGATCACACACCACGAAGGGGGATGAATAAATAATCAAAGTCCGCCCGAGAATCCTACATCTTCCACATAAAAGATCCCCAACTGCGCTCTTGACAAAGACAAGCAGCTAAGCACTCTTTGAACTCGGGGAGATTATAGGCAGGGCCACGAAACTGGACTCAGCCCGCAAATCAGGGCTGACAGAGCGACAGGCTCCAACTCCGCCGGCTTCTGCCCATGCCGGCCCCGGCTGCGTGTGGCTCCGGCAGCACAGGTTACGGCATCCGGATGCTGCAGTGCACATAGGCTGGAAGTGTTTACCTAGAGTCACCTGCAAAGGCAGGGCCCACAGATGGCGCCGCCAGCCTCGGGAAGGCCAAATCCCACCCAACTGCTGTCCTGCTTTGCTGGCAGCGTAAAGCGGACGTCTATGTGGATCTGTTAGTTCTCCAGCTCTTAACACTAATTCTTGACCCCTGAACGCCGTCGGGTACCCCCACAATCGAAAACGCCAGCACGTGCACGTCAATTTCCAGAGCTGAGTCAGCCTCCTATCTGAACTTGGCCTGCCCTCAACAAATCATCATGATAATTGTAGGATGCTCTTTGTTTATTTAAAAAAAAAAAATCCTGGGTACCCTGAAGGCAAACATAATTATAGGCTTTAGGAAAACAAGGCTTTTAACAAAGCAGTTATACTGGGAAAAGGGCTAAGAAGTAGGGATTTCTTAGTCGACTCTCCCTCAGTTGGAAGGCCTCAGCCCAGCGGGAAGCAGGGTTACGTTCGGATTTCTGAATATTCTAAAGAAATGCGGATGGGTTTGTGATAGGTATGTACAGGTCAGCTGACTTTAGTTAACAAACGCACACACAGTCCACATGTCGCTCTCAGCACTTGGCAAATACCAGCTCCTGGGTCTCCCCAGCGACCCCAGGAAGGTGCTTTCAGCCCAGGATCCCTGGTCTTCACACAGGCCATCATCCAGCGCCGTGTGCCCTACCATTCCTGGTCTTGCTCCTACAGAGGCTGAGAGGAGTCTCCCAATGCCACCAGAGCCCAGACCACCCCACCCTACCCCCAGCTATGAGCTGACATGCTCTGCTCAGGATTCAGAATTCAGGAAACTTCACTCAGGTCTATAAGGTCTACGGAACATTGTGAGCTTCAGGGGTTTACCAGGCAAACATGAAATACAGGAAGCACTAAGGCTGCCTCTCTGCCCCACAAGACCAAGCGGTGGCAGGGGGTGTGTGTGTGTGTTTGTGTTTACGTGTGTGTGGGTGTGTTTGCATGTGTTTGGTATGTGTCTAAGTGTAGTGTGTGTGGTATATGTACATGTATGTGTGTGCTGTGTATGCATGTGTCAGTACATGTAGTGTGTAGTGTGTGGTATGTGTCTCTGTTGTAGTGTGTGTCTTTGTGTGTGTTTTATGTATACTACTGTGTGTATGTGCATGTGTGTTGCTGCGTATGTGCATGTGATGTGTGTTGCTGCGTATGTGCATGTGATGTGTGTTGCTGTGTGTGGATATGCTGTGTTGTATGTGTATGCATGTGTTGTGGTGTATATGTGCTATATGTGTGTTGCTATGTGCATGCACACATATGTTATATGTGTATGTGTTATGTCTATGTGCATGCATGTGTGTTGCTGCTTGTATGTGCATGTTGGTGTGTATATGTACATGTGTGTTGCTGTGTATACATGCATGCATGTTGTATGCATATGTGTGTTGCTATGTGTATGTGCATATGCTGTGTGGCATGTGTACATGTGTTGCTGTGTACGTGTATATGCATGTGTTACATGTTATGTTGCTGTGTATATGCGTGCTGTGTGTGTATGTGTGTGTTACTGTGTGTATGTGCATGTGTTGTGTGTTGGAGGAGGGGCCTAAGGCTTCCAGAAAGAGGCCTGGGGAAGGGCCCCTCAGAGTACTGCTGCAGCGGGACCTGCCCTCTGTTTTCTGGTGGCTCCTGGGGTGGAGGCAGTGGAGGTTACAGGGGAAGCGTCTTCTCTTTCCCCAGGCAGGCAGGGCTGCAGGTGGCACCTCCCACCAGCTCTGCTGTTCTCTAGGAGCCTCTGTCACCTGTGGAATGTGCAGGCCACACACCTGCACCCCTCTCTCACCCCCTGGAATTCCCAGGAGGAGACTGGGAACACGTGTTAGTGGGTCCTCCTGTCCTGGCGGTGACGTGTGAGGTTGGCCAGGGCAGAGTGGCAATGTGCCCACCAGGGTTGATGCTGCAGGGGCTGGTCTGTCTGCTGCCTCATGGGGCTCTGCTGACAGCACCCTTAGTTTTACCATTAACCTTGTTCTTATTCCCATTTTTCAGGGAAGAACATTAAGGCTCAGGATGGTATGACTCTACTTTCATAAAAGCAGTGATCCATCAGGCTGTAAATGACTGGTGGTCTCAGTGTTTCCCTTACACAGCCCAGCACAGCACCTAGCATGCAGAAGCCCTGGCACTGCTGCCCCAATACGGTAGCATGTTGTTTGCCCCAGGACGGATGGGGATGCATAAAGTCAGCTAGTCAGGGAAGGTGCAAGGAGTTGCACCCATAGTCCTGCCCAGACCCCTCTGCTCACCCTCAGAGAGATCACATCTGTTCACACCAGCAGTTGTGAGGTATGGACAGCTGTCATCTAGAAACATTCATTCACTCATTTATTTATGCATGCATGATCTACCTTGTATCAAGCACTTGCTATGTGGCAGGCAGTGTTCTAGGCCCTGGGAACAGTGTTGTGACAAGACAGCCCAGTGAGGGGAGACAGGTGCTGGACAAGTCAGCAAAATGTATTTATGACATAGTGTCAGAGGGGGATGAAACTCAGGAGGGAATCCACCAGGGAGAGGGAACAGAGGAGACACGGATGAGGCATGGAGGTAAGTTGCCTTCTTTTTTTTTTTTTTGGAGACGGAGTCTAGTTCCGTTGCCCAGGCTGGAGTGCAATAGCACGATCTTGGCTCACTGCAACCTCCGCCTCCTGGATTCTCCTACCTCAGCCTCCCAAGTAGCTGGGGTTACAGGTGCCTGCCACCACACCCAGCTAATTTTTGTCTTTTTAGTAGAGATGGGGTTTCACTGTGTTGGCCAGGCTGGTCTCGAACTCTTGACCTCATGATCCACCCAGAGGAGCTTGGGGCAGAGGGAACAGCAAATGCAAAGGGCTGGTGGCAGGAGAACTCAGTGATTTCAGCATAATTAGCCAGGCACAGAAGAATGGATGGAGGTGGAAGGACAGGAAAGAAGGTCCTAGTATACTAGCCAGGCTGTGGGAAGAACCTTGAGATTTTTTTCTGAGCCATTTGGGAAGGCCCTGGGAGGTCCTGAGCAGGTAATCACCTGCTCTGATAAAACTTTGTGAAATGCCATACAAGGAGGGTCCAAGTGCTGTGGGACAGTGGTGCGCATCCGCCAGGAATCCCAGACTGGCCCTGCCACTAGGTGGCCATGGAACTTTGGGGAACTTATGTCCCTTCTCTGGGTCTCATACTCCCCATACAACAGGGATTAGAGGAGCTCTGAGGTCCCTTCCTGCTGGCACATTGCTGCTATCTGTAAGTGGTTACCCACTTCCCAGGCAAAAGGCCTCGCTTATTCCAGCAGTGACATCCCGAGGCTTCAGGAGGGACCCCCAAGCAGGCCCAGACCGGGGCTCTGGGTGCAAGTGCTGGCTCGTCTTTGTGGCCCTATAGGTATAATGACTGACCCCATGGCCCTTCTAAACCCACTTGACATACCAGCCCCAGCCCCTGTCCTCTGAGCCCAGTTATAGTAGGATGGCACCCCAACACCTCCCTACACACACACACATACACACACACACACACACATACACACACACACACACACACACACACACACACAGTCTCTACAGACCAACTTTTCACCCACGAAACCTGAGGGATGAAAGTTGACCCTGACTCACTGGTGGTCTCTTTCAGGCCAGTATGAATTGTCCCACAGCCCCCAGTGGAAACATTCAGAAGTGAGTGCTCTGCTCAGAGCCCCCAGCCAGGCTGAGGAGGGGAAAATTCTGCTTTCCAGCTCTGGTGAGAAACCATTGCATCCAGAGGCTCCAGAAGCCCACGAGGAACATAAAGATGCGTGGGAAGAACAGGCGCTGCCTTGAGTGACGGCCTGAGCCAGAAACTTGCACACACGGCTTTCATTGTTGGCTTTTACGGGTTTTTTTTTCCAAGTAAAAGAAAAAATCCAAATTTAATCATGTCCTTCCGGCAGAGGGACACACACACCACCCTGCCCCCAAACACACACACCCCATATGCCATTTCAAAGAAATGACTCTCTTTTTAAGTTTCTGAGGAAGAACCTCTAAGATGGGAATTTTCAGTGGATCACCATTTCCCTCTAGAAGAAAGATGCACATTTGTTTTTGATCCTACACAGAAAGCCCAACAGCCTGAGAAGCTGAGGGTGGCCGAGTGATGGCTTTTTCTTTAAAATCCTGGAATTTTCTATGCAGCAGTTTCAAGACCAAATGCTCCTTGCTGGCTAATGCACCAGTGTGAGGGGACACTGGTGTGGGCAGTGTCCTGGATGTAATGGTCTCCCTGTGTCAGTGACGAGGGCAGTGAGGGGGCAAGGACAACCCTTCCCTGGAAGCCTGGCTCAAGTTAATGCCCCATTAGCAATGATCCAGTGGATTCCTGAGGGAGAGAAGGAGGTAGGGGTCTGCAGAGTTCAGACAAAGGATCGAGAAAACTGGGTCATGGAAACCTGACCAGGCAGCCTCCGTCAGCAGCCAGAGGAATTGTCGTCGGATGAAGTCCTGTGTTACCAGAGCGCAGAGGCACTGCCCCGTGGCTGGGCTCCCAGAGAGGCCCGACGGGCTGTTCCATGGCAGAGAGGC